GTTAACTTGTTTTTATCAGTTATATGTGAATAGTATTCTAAATAACATTTTCATGCTTAGACCGAGTCAGAACGATCGATGTTAATTTACTTGTAGGTAATTTTCTGAGAACGCCACCTATTGAGAAAGATGAATAATACCGACTTTTGTTGGTTTAGGTCATTTTACTTTAAGAACTCGGAATTAAATTGGTTTATTATTCCAAACTAGAGAAAGTTGTCATATTTTTTTCAATATGTGTATGCGTTCAAAATATAGGCTTAGCATTGGTAACAAGTGTGGCTTTCTGACTTTTATTTCTTCTATTCTCAGTTCAGATTCGTCCACGGAACAAAAAGCCTTTATCTTTGGACTAATTTTAGAAATGGTTGATTAGAAAAAACTCCTGTATAATTATATTTATTATCGACACTAAATATAAGACACGACTCAGTGCATGACGCAATGAAGTTTCAATGGATCTCATTTCAAAGTTTATTTAAATAACAGCAGGCTTAACCTAGTTACGACCTACGTTAGTCTTTCCATACAAGGATTCAGGCCACGGCATGCACCCTAGCGGAATTAGTATAAAATAGAAAAAAAAAAAAATAGAAACCTCAACTTAAATTTAGAAAAATGCTTATGAAGTTGTCTCGAACATACAAAAGTGATTTTTTTTTCATACAGGTCAAATGTGATTCCAGTTCAAACCATGATTTATATATATATATATATATTGCAAGCTGTGGTCAGTTTAGTAGTTATTTGACCTAAAAGATAAAGGCCGGGTTTGCTAGAATTTTCCACAATAGCCTTTCTTGCAGAATATGGGTATAAATGGCTAACAAAAGTTTATGACGTCATTAATATTCTCTTTCTTTCTCTATGATTTTACAAATTTACCAATTTATCTCTGTTTTGTCAGCCAAATGAAGAAAAAGTAGCTCACGTTGTTGAATCAGTTTTGTTTAAGATAACGACATTTTGTGTCATGAGGACACTAAGGATTCTTTTAAGCCTACAATATATTATTACAGACGGAGTTTTGTTTTCTTAAATGCGGAATGTTCATCAGATGAAGAATTTCTCTGCCGTTTTATAGTAAATTAAATTAAATTTTCACCGTTAGAGCATAACAAAAAAATACATTTTGTAATAACCTTTTATAAATGAAATATAAACCAAGCATTAAAAAAAAACACTAACTAAGTTGTTTAGAATTAAATTTCGATTAATTAGAAATATTACATCAAAATTATTTGGCAGGAACCTTTGAACTATGTGATTAACCCTTTCATTTCAACTACATTCTATAAAACAAGTATATCCTCCGATGGGATAGCGATAAGTCAACGAACTTTCAACTGTAAAATCCGTGGTTCGGTTTTCCTCGGATTATATATTGTAATCACACAATGATAAAATCTAAACTTTCTGGTTGGGTACACTATTTCTTTCAGTATTAGCAGGCAGAGCCGTGCGAAGGCTCTTATGGGCTTGTGGTGAGGCCCTCCAATCAACGTTTATGTTTCCAGTTAATCATGTAAATTTAGCTTAGGTTGTTATGCCATTTATATATCGTACTAAGGGTAGTCGATAATACGTGCTATAGAAGAAGAATAAGTCGTTCACGTATTTAGAACAATATCGTAAACAACAGGAAATCACAAAGGTGAACACTTAAAACTTACTGTTAATGATTCACTTACGCTGAGTTTTCTAAACTTACCTTGTTGTAAAGACAGTTACCACAGGTATTGTTCCTGACACAAAGACAGTTACCCCAGGTATTGTTTATGACACAAAGACAGTTACCCCAGGTATTGTTCTTGACACAAAGACAGATACCACAGGTATTGTTCTTGACACAAAGACAGATACCACAGGTATTGTTCTTGACACAAAGACAGATACCCCAGGTATTGTTCTTGACACAAAGACAGATACCCCAGGTATTGTTCTTGACACAAAGACAGATA